GATAATACATATATGAAATACTAATATAATAATAAAATAATAATAATAAAATATGTTATAATAAAAATATATATATAAATATAAAAATAAAGAAATAGGGTTAACAATGTGAGTGATTTTATGTCAAAAAGAATTCCCTTTATGCTAAAGCAATTGTTGTAATACTAATAACACCTGTTATACCTCTTTATAATTTCGGTGATTTTAGAAACACTGTCGCCCTTAGAAATGAAGAGAAAATAACTCAGACAAGAGCATCAATAAAAGGCAAAAACTTAGAAATGAATATTTTCTAATTACTCTTGTTTTATTTTTGGTGAAAACATCTTGTATAAGATTTAATTGTAAAATTCTCCCATTTTTTTCTTCTATTTTATTATTTGGATCAGTGTCTAGATTAGTGTTCGTTTTTTCTACTTCAATATCTGTCATCATTAAGTAGTATTTTTTTTTATTTTTCTAATTCAACGTTTAGTTAACCATATTAGACTCGTCATATTTATAAAACAAGAAATTCTGATGAGATCAATATTAAAAATTATCTATATTGGTAATAATTCATTGTGGACATTAATAGAATTTCTAAACGAAGGTATATTAAGGACCACTATCTCCGTATTTTGGATTTGTATTTTTAGACAATTAATTATGAAATATTATTTCTAGATGATTATTTATTAAATCGTCTATAAATCATCTAAAAATAATATTTTTAAGCGAAATATTTATTAAAAATATTATTTTTAAATGATTTAATAAAGATTTCATAATAAATCACTTAAAAATAATATTTTTAAATGATTTAATAAATATTTCATAAATTAATCACTTGAAAAATTAGCTTTAGACGATTTAATAATTAATCGCTAAAAATATTAAGCGAATTACTAAATATTTCATAAATAATTACTTTACTAGTTACAAGAACTTTTTTGCACAATTTCTTTTTATTAAATCTATTTTAAATGATTTTCACAAGCTAAACTAAAAAAACTATAGATTTTTATGACTGCATGATTAAATACTACATTTTCTCCTAAATGGACCTTCCAATATGGAATTTTTTTGGATACATAAAACAAATATAAAAAAGAAATTTTATACTGCAACTTCTCCTAAATAGATATGAAATTCGCATGATTTTCTAGGATATATCTTATTTACTTTTGTCCACACCTATTAATTTAGGGTCCATCAAATTTTCTGATTCTACGTGCATAAATAGTAATAAGGGTCAAAAGAAAATAGGATATATCCTAAAAATTTCATGCGAATGCGTTGCAATTTTTTTTCAGATAATCCTTATTTTGTCTTAATTTATACTATTGAAACATTAAAAAATCAATTACCAAAGATTTCTATACTATACATGCTAACCAAAATTAAATATTGATTTTATGGTTATGTATCTTTATATGGGATTAATTAGTTATTATTATTGTTACGCTTGTTATTTTTATTAATTATTTATATTAAAAGTTAAGTTATCAATTTTAGAAGTGACTGTTATTGTTTCCAAATCTGCCCTCTTTCACGTGATCTTTATTATATCTGAACAAAATTTTTTGTTAGAACTCATCTTTATTCATGGATAAAAGTTTCATAATGATGATAGAGGATATTATTAGAATTATTCTCAAATATTTGAATGTCTGTAATATATATTCAGCACTTCTAGTCATCCAAGAATGGTGTTGAATTACCGTTCCATTTTACTGAAAAGCTCCATTTAGTTTTATCAAAAAAAGGAGTATGACCGCATTAAAGATTTATGAAATGTTCCTTGAAAAAGAAAGTAGTACATCTGTACAGGGTGAAACTCAAAAGGTTCTACCATTTTTCGATTATTCATCATTTATCAAAGAACTTAATTATACGAACTTATTGAAATTATTGGCAAGTGAAGAACAATATAAATCAATACTTCAAATGTTAACAAACTGAGAAGTTTGTCTAGAAACTTTTATTATTGAGCATGGCAGTTCAAATAATAAAAGAGCCTATAGATTATGGATAACATTATGCTATACCTCAATATTCAGTACCCTTAATCACATTGAAATACACTCTCCAGTCAAAAATATTGGATCAAAGAATTTTTTTAAAATTTATTGGTATTTTTCAAAAGGTAATTATAATACAACTGGTAATCTAAATAATATGAATTTTTTTTATTTGAATTTCTTAATCAAGAGCTATCAATTAATATCTTTTTTAATAAAGATAAATGCATATTTGTGCAGTAATTTAGTTTCAAATAAAATTAATCAAAAATAGTAAATTAATTCTTTGAAATAAATATTAGTCGATCTTGATAAATATTGATTATAAATATAAACTTGTAGCTAATAACCAGAGCTATAACTTTTATTAATACCATATTTAGAATCTTCTAGTAAAAATCCAAAGTTTATTTAGACACGACTAAAAATGATCGAAATTATTAAAAGTTTGACTTAATATTAACAAAAAATTATTAAAAGTTGTCATATATAAAACTTTATTTTTACTAATAAAATTTTAGAAATTATATTAAGTAATCTTAAAGATGTATATTTTGTACATCTACTGTAAACTTTGTAAACCAATATCTTAAGAATTAAAGGAATAATTGGCAATTGAATTTTAAAAGATAATTGCTAATTATTTTCTCAATTGATATGTTATAGGTCTAAAATCTTTACAGTAGATGCATAACTATTTTATCCTTAAGGTTACTTAGTATGACTTTTAATGTTTTGATGTTAGATAATAAAGTTTTATATGTAACAACTTTTGATTTAATTTAATTTGATTTGAGTAACCGACGCTGTCACCAGTGGTTCTTGGTTTTCTTAAGAACTACCTAGTAGAGTGACTTAACGGTTCTTTTAAGGAGTTTATAGTTCTTTCCCGAAGGTAAGACTGTTGTTTCATCATTTTAGAAGGTACCACTGATTCAATTATTTTAGAAAGGGAATCAGACCTTTCATTTAATTTATT